ACCTCACATCCATAAAACCAAGAAAATGAAATTACCACAGCTGTTCATTACAGGATAATTTGCCAGTTCCTTTATTCAGTTCTATGTCCAACCAAAAGTAATATTTTCATATCCTAAATTTAGCAGTATTTTGAAGGAAAGGAATGGACAAATAAAATGGAAGAGAGAAAAATACCTCAGTTTGAGCTTCCCCAGAGTGTTCATAAATTCCCGGCAATTATCTGGTTCCCACTACAAACTTAACACTCACAAGGCCAAAGTTTCACATAAAGAAACTTAATTGTCCTGCAATGTGCTCCTTTCAGAATCTTGCAGAACTCCAGTTTTCTTAGCTGCCTGTGGGGTCTACCCAAAACTGTGTCCTGGGACACCAGGTGAGAAACAACATGATCCTGTTCTGTGCTCCTGTTAAATCTTACCCATACTCAGCCTTAATTTCTTGGCCTTAATTAAGCTATACTACTCTGTAGCAGACCAGAATATCCCTTTTCTCCACTCATTCTCCTCCTACAATAGAACTTGACTTCCCACTGGACAAGTGTACCAGCCTCTTAATCCAAGCTAAGATGAAAGAGAGAAAATAAAACAGAGTGTCACCCAACAAAAGCCTGCCACATTCAGACAGCACTGTTTTGAGGTGCACCTACCTAAGTCTTAGAAATGAAAAGCACCACCAGATCCTGCTAACCAGAGGAATGACAAAAATGTGAGAGCTCTGCCCTCTCCACATGGGAGTACTACCCACAAGAAATGCAGCTGCCTCTGTAGTGTTTGGGTCCCCAAATCCTATCCCAGCAAATACCAGATCCTGCCAACTCCACATGGGATATACATATCAGTTGGTTGTGCAGTTTGAAGAACCCCATTCTCTCCACATGGGACTTGGCCTCACAAACTCCAGCCCTACAAACATGACAGTCTCTTTTAGTGCAAAGTGACTTGCTCTCCATTCAAGAGTATACCTATAAAAATTACAGTTTGAGGTCTCAGACAAACCTGACTAGCAAATGAACCCTGTTATCCAGTAAAATGATTCTCAGTGCTGGCTACACAATAGAATCACCTGGGAAGCTTCAATACAAAACCCAGTGTTGGAGCTGTACTCCAGAAATTTTGCTTCTTACTAATCTGGAGGGGGTCTGGATATCACTGTTTACTAAAATCAGTCAGATGATTCTAAAAGCTCCATAACCACTGGTCCAATATGATATCCTCCCACTCCTGCCAAGGATATTGCTCGGCGAGTCTAGGTTTGTGACTTTTGTTTGAGGCCGGGCATCTCCCTCAGCTGCAGCTGCAAAGCTACACTAGATCCTTCATCACCAAAGTCCAGTAAATGTGTATGTTAACTCCCGAAAGCTGCCAGAGCCCTGCCAGATGAAGAGTCAAAGATGGACGAAACGCAGAACGCTACATGCCTGGTTCTCCTCTGTTCCACCGCATATCTTCTCAATGAGTGATGTGGTTTTTTCACGCTGTGGAAACCACCCCTGTGCATTCACAGCCCTTTCTTTCCTCCCTAACCTGTCAGACTACAGCCACAGAGAATACTATCTGATCCACACTTGTGGCTGTCACATCAATAAAAGAGGGCTGGGGAGGGGGGAAATCTCCCTTAACGTACCCTGCCCTTGTACTTGTATAACCGCCACACTACTTGTTGTCGGTTACTACCTCCTTCTCTGATCTATAAACTGCAAAAACTGCAGCAGTGCCTGGTATGTGGTAGGTGCTCACTACAGTGTTTGAGAAATGAATGAATAGATGGAGACGAGGAGCTGCTGCCCTGGTAGGAGTGGAAAAGATGCAGTCGTGCCTTCACTGTTAGGGGCCGATATTTAACATGGATAATTGCAGCCGCAAGCCCAGGAGCAGAACTCACAATCTTAACCTGAAAACTCAGCGCTGGCACTTTTTCTTTCACTTAAGCACAGCCTTGCTTTTCAAGGCACCTAAACATTTGCCATCTCCTTGTATTCCATTTCTACTTTTCTTCTTAGACCTCCCACGTAGCGACGCCCTAATTGTTCCAAAGCGCTCAGTTCTGCCTGCTTTGCCTTTACCGTTTCCAGCTCAACAGCAGCCTAGTTGTTATGTCCCTCCAAACAATAACAGTGGGAACTCTCTCCAGATCTACAGCATAGTTTCAGAGATTACTTAAATGTGCAGTAGTCGGTCCTTCCTTATTCGTTTTCTGACTTCTACAGTGTTTTAAAAGTATTGAATGCTAAGACTGCTTATCCACAAGGTCTTTTCAGTAATGGTATGTTTATCTTAGAATTCCGGCCTACATGGTAATTGTATTGCTGCATGTGGGAGAACGAAGCAAAGATGTTTCAGTAATCATACAGTATCAGCGACCATGTTGCCTGCACTTGACTCAGAGTAGATGAATCCGGTGCCTCTGCTCGTTAGGACTTAGGTTCAAAGAAAAATAAGCAAGAACGGCATGAAGACCAGCTCACATTAGTGGTCTAGCTCACTTGATACCTTTTGAAATATAGATGCACTATTTCTCTTCAACATTAATTACTATTAAGGATAACTTCAGGTGACTAAAAGAGTACAGGATCTGAAATGTTAATAGCCATTCGAATCTATTAAGGCACTGCAGAGAATGAGGGAAAAGATAAGTGGGGTCAGCACTATTAAGATCCATTTCTGTGAGTAGTTTTGAAGATTGTTAAAGATCCAAGTCCAGCACCATCTATACCACCTACTTACTGGTACCGTCATCATTTTGGCTTTAGTTGCTGTTTTTCAAGATACTGTCCTCAGACTACCTGCTTTAGAATCCTCTAGTGATGTTTGTTTAAAACAACAACCACCACCACAACAACAAAATCACACTCTTGAGCCCCAGATCGATAAAGCAGAATCCCAGGGCTCCTGGGTGGCTCCGTCAGTTAAACGTCTGACTTCAGCTCAGGTCATGATCTCCCAGTTTGTGACTTCGAGCCCCACATCAGGCTCTGTGCTGACAGCTCAGAGCCTGGAGCCTGCTTCAGATTCTGTGTCTCCCCTTCTCTCTGCCTGCCCCACCCCCCATGTTCATGCTCTGTCTCTGTTTCTCAATAATTAGTAAACGTTAAGAAAATTTTTAAAAAAATAAATAAAGTGGAATACCTGGGGTTGAGGCCTTGAATTGATCCTGACCAAACCACTCAGCTGTTGAACCGTAAGGTCTCCAGACTGCTGGCTCGAGACTTTACCAGCTGTTAGGCTTCAGATACTCCCAGTAGCACTGTCAATAGGCATTATTCATTTTTCTTCAAGGATCTGAGATTAGGTTATGACAAAGTAATTGAAAAGAATGTGAGGACACAAATACCCAAGGAGGAGGAATAGGACACCACCAAGGGGAGGAAATGGAAATAGAATGGCCAGGGTCCAAGAAAACCCTTCTTTCCTTCATCCTTTTGTGCCAGGTTATATGTCATTTGTCAGACTTTAGTCCAGTCTAACAAGCATATTTTGACTGTCATGTGCCAGGTGCTAGAGATAAAAGGAAACAGAACAGTCTCACTGTCCTAGGGGAGTTTACAGTTTGGTAGAGAAAGCAGGCTCTTAAATGAGCAACTCAAATAAACATGGAAAGCAAAAGACAGAGATTTGCCCAAGAAATTTTGGGGGCTGAGAAGAGGGGATTTGTAAGGGAGACCTAATGTGTAGAGAAGAAATTGCCTGAGTAGGGACATAAGTAGAAATTAGGCTGGTGGGGGGTAAGTAGGTGGCTTTTGAGGAAGAACTAAAAGATATCCTGGAGCTGGTGGGAAATAACTATTCCCAACAAAGGGAAACTTGCACAACCAAAATGCTCTGAATCCTAAAGTGATCTCATTTTTATTGGGATTGACAAGCAGTTGAGGACTGCTTTATCATAAGGTTGAGGGAATGGAGAAAGATAACCAATGATTCTGGATAGGTAGACATGGGCCAAGTCAAGGAGATGTGTGTGCATGTCTTGATAACTTTTTTTGAATGTTTATTTATTTATTTTGAGATATAGGGGAGCAGAGAGAAAGGGATAGAATCCCAGCAGGCTCTGCGCTGTTAGTGCAGAGCCCAGTGGGGGGCTCGATCCGTGAGATCATGATCTGAGCTAAAATCAAGATTCAGACACTCAGCTGACTGAGTCATCCAGGTGCCCTGTGTCTTGATAACTTTTCAATGTCCTGTTTCGGTAGCCATCTAGAAGATGTCCTAGATCAGTCTTTAGAATTCATTCCAAGTTTATGGTCTCAAACTGTTCATTGAAGTGGCTCCAGAAACATGTTACAGCAAGGTTATGGGCCCTCTCTGGGACATTATATATGGAATTGCAGTAACTAATAAGTTGACAGTAATGTCAAAAATTATTCAAATGTCAAATAGATTTGAGAATGTTTTGACTATCACTGGAAGAATACATGAAAAATAGTGATATTAATGACCTCTGGAAAGAGAAACTAAGAGAGGTAGGAGGAATTTACTTCTCACTATATACCTTTTATATTGTTTGGATATTTATCATGTATATTTATTGCCTATCCCAACAAGTTTAAAAGAGAACTAAAGAGACATATTTATCCCAAAGCATAAAGAGCTGTCAACATGTTAAATGGTTATTTGATTTACATTAAAAGCTCAATTAATGATTCATTGATACAACAATGACAGCGATAGTATTATGAAAGTAGTTTTGTCTTGGGGTGCCTATTTGACTCAGTTGGTTAAGCATCTGACTCTTGATTTCGCTTAGGTCATGAACTCAGAGTTTGTGAGATGTAGCCCCATATAGGGCTATGTGCTTACAGCACGGAGCCTGCTTGGAATTCTCTCTCTCCCTTCTCTCTGCCCCTCCCCTACTCATCCTCTCTCTCTCTCTCTCTCTCTCTCTCTCTCTCTCTCAAAATAATAATAAAAAAAAAGTTTTGTCTTTCACAGCTTGAGAAATAAATTGGAATTAGAGAAGTACAGATTTTGTATATCCTCTATAAATTTGGCCTTTTTTTTTCCAGTTCGCAGCTCACCTTGTGAAGATGAAATATCCAAGAATATGTATTCTCGATGGCGGCATTAATAAGATCAAGCCAACAGGCCTCCTCACCGTCCCGTCTCCTCAAATATGAAGAACCAAGAAAGAGTGTGATAGTCAAAAGGACAGAGTGGTATCAGCCCCCAACAGCACAACTCTTCACAGCCTTACCTCTCTTCGACAGAACTAGACTTCCAGATTGTTGCATTTCCATAAAGTTTTGTCATGAAACATTTTTTTAAATCTCATAACCCACATGCTCAGCGATCCAGGCAATAAACTTGACTGTACATGTATTGCTGAAAGAATTTTCTTAACAGTGAAATCCGATCATGTATTTTTACCACAGTGCAGCACAAAGCCAGAGGAATTCAGCTGACAAGGCAGATTTAGCATTATCAAGAAATCTCAGTTGCACTGAAAAAGCTATCTCCCATTGCACTGAACAGACAGTCCTAACAAAGGTATTATTTAGAAACATAGACTGAATGGGGGTTGCAGTCATCTTTCCATGATAATGAAAAGTAAAAAGCTATTCACAATATATTCCTTATAAGTAAATGCTATATTTGGTAACTCATTTTTGGCCCAGACAGATCGTGTGTGTGTATGTGTGTGTGTGTGTGTGTGTGTGTGTGTGTGTGTTGCTTAGGAAAAGAATTAGCCTACTGAAGAAAGTAATAATAATTTACTTACAGAAACATTGAAGTCAGAAGCCATTCACATTAGATAGAACATTATTCAGCTCCTATAGCAGAGAAACCCAAAATAACAGTGACTTAAAAAAAAAAAAGTGACTTAAACTAGAACTGCATTTCTCCCATAAAAGTCTGCATAATGAGTCTAGGGCTAGTATATCGGTTTCATAATCATTAAGAACTCAGGTATCTTTTCACATTGCTTTACCACCCTCAACATGTGGTTTCTATCTCATGGATCAAGATGGCTGCTTAGCTCAAACCATCACATACATGCCATTTAGAAGGAAGGGAATAAAGGAGGAGGAAGGCAGAGAGGAGGGAAGGAAAGATATAGGAAAGGAGGAAAAGAGAAAGAAGAGAAGGAAGAGAACTTTCTTTCTCTTTAAAGGCACAAACCATAAGTTGCACATACTACTTTGCTTATATACCATTGACCAGAACTCAGACGTGTGGCCACACATAGCTATAAGGAAAACAGGAATATAATCTTTTACCCAGGTAAAAAAATTTATTTTTTTAAGTTTTAATTTTTTTTAATGTATTAAACATGTACTATTATTATTTTATAATTTTTTAATGTTTATTTATTTTCGAGAGAGAGAGAGGGACAGAGCGTGACCGGGGGAAGGACAGAGAGGGAGAGGGAGGCACAGAATCTGAAACATGCTCCAGGCTCTGAGCTGTCAGCACAGAGCCAGACACGAGGCTCGAACTCGGGCCAAGTTCAACCTAGGCTGAAGTCAGATGCTTAACCGAGTCACCCAGGCACCCCCATGTATTATTATTATTAAAGTTATTATTACTGTGTGGGAAGAGGAGAACACATATTGAAAAGCAATTAGCAGCTCTGCCACATTATTCTAAAAATTAAGTACACTTAGCATAACACTCTCCAGTTCCATCCACATTGCTACAATAAATTTCGTATAATAAAAAAATAAAATAAATTAAAAAATAAAAAAAAGTACAGTACTTCATTGACTCTAAGACCTATCACAATTTTATGTACCATAAAGAAAAAGCAGCCAAATAAACTGGACCTACCATCAATTATAAGATGCATTCGCATTCAGAAATGTGAAAAAATATGCATCTTAGAATTATTGAAATATAGTACCTTTCTTGATTACCTTCAATTTTGACTAAAAAGTGGGTTTTTTTCATCTTTAACTTATATTCCTCTTCAGTGTTAGGACTACCTAGGTATAGAACGTTTGAATAAGAGTCTTAATTCAACTCTCTGACTGTGGTTTTATTGTTGCTATTTGTTTTGATTTTTTGCATCTACTTTTTTATTGAGATATAATTTACATACCATAAAATTCACCCTTTTAAAATGTACAACTCATTGGCTTTTAGTATATTCACAAAATTGTGCAATCATCACTACTATCTAATTCCAGAACATTTTTATTCTCCAAAAAAGAAATCTGTATCTATTAGCAGTCATTCCCCATTAATCACCGCCCCAAGCACTTTGATTTAATGTTTGTATATGGAGTGAGATAGGTATCCAACTTCGTTCTTGGCGTGTGGATATCAAGTTCTCCCAGAGGCTATGTAATTTTATTTGTTTTTCTTATTGAATTATACTTAGTCATTCACCAAATATGTTTTAAGTACCCATTAGGTGCAAGACACTGACATAACTGGTGGTTATATCATTCTGTGACCCCTACATAATATACAAAGAAACAATGTGAGAATAATAAGAAAATTTTACCACTGTTTCCCTAATAGCATTTTGAGGTCATCATCTACCATGGTAAGGGAAATATCATTAAGTTCTCCCGCCCTTTTCTTTAATCTTTGATGACTTATCTGACTTCCTAGTCATAATGCAGCACTCATGCTCATTCAGAAGGGGTGGTTCTGAGTTTTAGGTTTGCCTTACTGAGAAAGCAAAGAAGGATGGAAGAGTGAGGATTTGACTGAATGGGCTGGGAGGCTAGGGGAAGATGAAGACCTGAGTGTTGAGGAGAGCTTCAAGAGAAGATAATAGTAGCCAGCCTCCATCACAATTTTGCATTTGATCTTTCTTAAAACTTGATACATTTAGGCTTAATTTTTAATGAGTTTTTTTAAACATTCAAATTATGAATATTTAATATTCTCAACAGTAAAATAAGAAAGAGCATACAATCACTGCCATGTTTATGTGCAGGGCATGTTATTTGGTGGCAGATAGTTTCCGCAAAGTTGACCTCAACAACTATCTGTTGAATTAAACCTATATGACCCACGACTTATAGAGGTCCTTTGTAATATCTCACTGACTCCTACACTGTCACTATCAGTACTGTTTGTTTCTGGCAACAGCAGTCCCTTTCCCTCTGTCTGGAATGCCCTTACTACCACAACCAGCTACACACACACACACACACACACACACACACACACACATAAATCCTTCAGAATCCAGTAGCACCTCCAGTCTTCTGGGACTTCCCCATGCTACGTTAAAAGCCTTAAAACTATCAAAACATTCCATTCATACTTCTAATAATAAACTTATTACATAATTTTGCAATTATCTGTTCACATTTGGAGCCCATCCTTAAGGTCAAAGACCATAATTTATACTTCTTTTTGTATTCAGCAACCCACTACACTGGAGCTGCTTGTTAAGTGTAAAATTCAATTGAATCTCTTGCTTAGAGATTTTAGGATCTATATAGATAGAAGAAAAACCGGGAAATTTTTTTCAAGTGCCAAATTTATCTGGTACCTGACAATTTATAAAATAAACTGAAATCTCAATTCACTAAGTGAAGAACAAATCTCTAATGCTCTACCCAGCTCTAAAATTCTATAATTATAGAAGTTGGAACAAGTAACTTCCAACACCAGAGTAAACTAAGTTAGTTGCTTCCCCTTTCCAAGGCATCTAAATGCTAAATTAAAAAAGAATATTAAAAATGTCTAATACTTAACCAAGTTTGAAAGAAACAAATTCCTTGATGTCAGATTTGAACAGAAACTGAAACACTGTCAGATATCAGATATCAATATAGACCCCAGGAACTGTGGTTTTAACATGCACATAGGGTTAAAAGACAGCCTCGCCTGCCTTCTGTTAGGGAATTTCTATTGACTACACAGTGGCAGTCTCAAAGAACTCTTCGCTCCATGAAATGACTAAAAAAACTTCCTACCAAACCAAGGAAGGTACAGGAGAGATTGTCCTGATATTCTGAATAAAGAAAAACAAATCTGTTGTGGACAGATGGAGGCGTTCAATGGAAAGGCTGGGCTAAGTCCCCAAATTAGAACAGGTTTTAAGGCATGTGTTCATCTGACTAAAAATGAGAACAATGAATTATATCAAACTTTTGGAAAGCATAGATGGTGCCAGATCTTTGTTTGACTCCTATTTCCTTCTCCAAATAGTTCCATAAAAATACAGTTGGCTCTCCAACTACACAGGGGTTAGAGGCACTGACCCCCACATAGTTGAAAATCTATTTACAACTTTTGACTGCCTACTGTTAACCAGAAGTCTTACCAATATCATACAATCTAGTAACACATATTTTATACATTATATGTATTATATTCTGTATTCTTATGATAGAGTAAGCTAGAGAAAAGAAAATGTTAAGAAAATCATAAAGAAGAGAAAATACGTTTACAGTACTATACTGTATTTATGAAAAAAAAAATCCACATGTAAGTGGACCTACCTGCACAGTTCAAACTAATGCTGTTCAAGGGTCAACTGTACTTCTTTATAGATTAATGTCAAAACTATGGTACAGCCTCTGGGGGCACCTGGGTGGCTCAGTCAGTTAAGCATTCAACTCTTGATCTCGGCTCAGGTCATGATCTCATGGTTCATGAGTTTGAACCCCACATCGGGCTCTGTGCTGAGAATGTGGAGAGGCTGCTTGGGATTCCCTCCCCCTCTCTTACCCCTCCCCCTGTTTGTGCACTCCCTGTCTCTCTCTTTCATTAGAGAAAAATGAATAAAAACTTAATTTTTTTTTTTTTTTTAAGTATGGTACAGGGGCACCTGGGTGGCTCAGTCAGTTGAGTGTCCAACTTCGGTTCGGGTCATGCTCTCGTGGTTCATGAGTTCAAGCCCCACTCCGGGCTCGCTGCTGTCAGCCTGTCCGCACAGAGCCCACTTCAGATCCTCTGTCCCCCTCTCACTGCCCCTCTCCTGCTTGCATTCTCCCCCAAAATAAATAAACATATGTATTTTTAAGTATGGTACAGCCTCTCTGAAAGATCTCATGCAGCAGTTTCCTCTGGTAAAATCCACTCTACAGAAAGGACTGTTCCCTTGCCTGCTGTAGGGTTGATGGATGTTTTGCTGTATCGGAGTCATGAATAGTCACCTCATGAGTGACATATAGATGGCTCCATATATACCTGTTGTTAACCAAATAATGCAGTTTTCTTGGTAAACATTCATTAAGCCAAAGAGTAGAAGCAAAACAAGAATATTTATGATGGATTTTTGTTTGGGCATTCAGTCTCAGGACTGAATACCCTTCACAACTACCACCTTAGATTTTATGTGGAAAGATAACAGAGAAGTGTTATAAACCGTAATGTCTGACACTAGCAATTGCTCACACACAAACCTTAGGGTTTGTAATCCAGTTTTATCT